AGGTGCGACGGGACGGGGCAAGTTGCGGCAGCGGGGGGGGGTGTGTGTGGAGGAGTGGCAGGGCACTGCAGGGCCAGGAAAGGCACCGTGGGTTTAGTCACGATGGGGTCGTGACAGGGCGGGGGGCGACGTGACCCGACGGGGCCCTCAGTTCGGGGCAGGCAGAGCTGGCGGGACCCCGCTGGGCCTTGGGCCCCCCCTCTCCCCTTGTCCTCTCTTTATCTGCCCCGCTGCGAGGGTCAGGAGGGGAGACAGACGTTGTATCTGTCCCGAGTTGGGATTATTATTCCAGTCAAATTTTATATTTATTCCCATTTGCCTTCGGAAGGCTCAGCGCGTTATGGAACTGGGCTATCTGGGCAGTTGTCACTGAAACAAAAGCTCCGAAGGGAGGAGGAGGGAATAATTTTCCTTAAAACAGAAAACTATGCAGCAGCTGAAAGGTGTTCCGCTTCAGCCTGGTGAAAACACTCCCTGATTCACCTCCCCTACTACGAACAATGAGATGATCTTCGATTTTTTGTGTCTCTTAGTCATTAAAAGCTGGTGGCGTTCTTCTTCCAGATGTGCAGGGAAAGAGAAGTCAGAGCTGTGCTGTTGCTGCGCAGACCACCAGCAGAAAAGGTGTCCCTGGCCCGGACAGGCCGGGATAGGAGGGGTGGAGGGGGGGGAAGCAGCTCAGCAGGCAGCTCGGAATGACACCGAAGCTTCCCGAGCCCCGGTCCTCAGCCACCGTGTCTCCGTGGACATTTTTAGGATGTCACTGGGAGGGAGGTGTCTGGAGGAGGGGGAACAAAAGGACCCCACAGCGGGGGGGTGGCTGAGGCCCAGGCGAGCTCGAGGGCCTGAGCAGAGATGAGCCCGAAGGAGCCTCCAGCCCGGCCCTGTCAGGCAGCCGGGGTGGCAGCAGGCCCAGGAAGGGGAGTCAGGCTGCTGCTGGGCTCTGCTCATCTCCTGGCCCCTCCAAAGGGGTCAGAAAGGACCCAGGGACGGGCATAGCCCAGGTAGTACCTGAAATCAGAACAACCAGAGGTTGTGGAGGTGGCGACGTCCCAAGCTGGGCTGTTGGCAGCTGGAGCCGAGCTTGTCGCTGGCTGCAGTTGCTGTTATGGGGAGAGTGGAAACGGGGCTGCCTGTTCAGCAGGGTTTTGCTTTCACATCATTGGTAACGGACTAGTTATGAAAAATACCTGGGGTTGTGCTCTGATGTCTCCATTGTTGTGCTGGGGACAAGACCAGCATTGCAGGGCACCCTTTCCAACCCCACCTTTCCCCTTGTTTCTCCCCGCTTTCCATAACTTGTTTTTTTTGTTGCAGTTACAGATAAATTCACGGAGAGCATGTACGTCCTGGCCAACGAGCCCTCCGTGGCCCTGTACCGGCTGCAGGAGCACGTGCGGAGATCCCTCCCGGAGCTTGCACAGCACAAGGTGAGTTGTGCTTCGCTTTCCAGAGCTACAACATGGTCGGGCACAAAACGTTTTCCTGTCTTGGTGCGTTGTCCTTATTTCACCTCCCTTATGGGGTGGGAAGGAGGGAGGAAATCAGCTGTGGGGGTGTGAGGTGCTGCGGGACCCCGGAGGGGATGAAGGAACGTTGCAAATTTACCTGTGGACCTGAGGAAAAAAAGCTTGAGATTCCAACTCCGTGCTTGTGCAGCTGGACTTGTGCATGGAGACAAAGAAAAACGAGTAGCGTGTTTTGTACAGGGCGGAGGGAGATGTTAAATCTTATTACCCCTGCCTACACCGTGCGATTTTTATTTCCTACATAAAATAAGAGGGAGGGTGAGAGGAGGGAAGGGGGAGTGTGAAGAAACAAGTGCGAAGAGCCCACATGAGGCAAAGCAGGATAATGAATCGCATCTCACAGCTGTGTTCCTACTTTCCTCCTGAGCACAGAGCGCAGACACTTTAATGCCAGCCTTGTTGTCCTTCTCCCTCTTCTGCCAGTCATGATTCATTAGGAGTGATGTCTCATGAATAGATTACTGCTTCATGTCTATGCTAATGCACTGTCAGGCCCCATTTTTCACCTTTGCTTTACAGCCCTGGTTTTCAAATTAACCTGGATTGTGACACTTTATTATTCAATTATTTATTAACATTTTATATAGGTGTCTGTGTGCAGTGGTAGGTATATAGAGATGTATATGTATGTATAGCACAGGCTGATGCGACTGCGTCGCTGTCATGCAGGAGACAGGTTTGTAATATTATTCCTGAGCTGTCAGTTGCTTTTATTTAATCAAGGTAGTCCCGGTTTCAGGGAATGTGTCCTGAACAAAAGGAAATTGAGCAAATTGTATGACGAGTCATGCAGAGGGAAGAGATCAGTTCCCATCACTGAACGGTGCGGAACGGGGACGAGGGGCAGCGCAGAAGCACTAATGGAAGCGACAGCTGAGCGGAGGCGCCGGACGCGGCGCGTGTTGTCAGGCAGCGGCTTTATGCCGGGCAAGATCTCTGAAAACCTTTGATTCTCTCATTTTCCCAGCTCAGCATGCTCCTCACAATTATCCGCAGTGTTCTGCGACCTCTCTGGCTCATCGAAGTTCATTTCCTAGCTGCAGCCGTCCCAGAGAATTCTCTTTTGTAGCCAAAATTGCTGCTGTTTTGCCCTTTCTTCTTGTGAGAAAGGAGGTCAGGCTGCCCTGTGGATGCCAGCAGCAAACACAAGGACCCTGTGTCCCCCCCGCATGACTGCAGTCGTCACAAGCATCAGGTACCTTTGCTCTTTGATGCCTTCATGTTCAGCCTTGCAGCCTCCCTCCTGCCCTGGCCACTAGCCCCAGCTGGGGCAGCGGTGGCCTTTGTACACGAGGAAGAGCTCGCCGTGCTCCCCGCAGTAACGCTGCATGTCAGGACAAAGCTGAAACGACTGCACAGTGCCCTCTGCCCCGGGGCACAGCAGGGCACTGCCCTGGTGCCACCCCAGTACCTCTGTGCCTCTCTAGTCTTAGAAAACTTCTCCTGATCCCCTTGCTCTGAGGTGCTGCTGACATCTATGGGCACTTCCAGCTTCACAACTACTTTCCTGGTTATTGGCTCTGTGTTTAATGGTGCAGTGATGTGGTAAGAGCTGGGAGAAAATGAAAAGAAAATTATTTGTGGCAGCTGGAACAACAGCAGATCCCAGAGCTGCTACTAGTGACTTTTCCTCCAGCCTTGTCAGCTCTCGAGTTTGTTTTTTTCCAAGGCTGCAGCATCATGCTTGGGAGTGTGCTCTTCTCTCTGCTGGTAACCAGTCCCTGGTGGGAACTGGGAGGGTTAAACTTAACTCAGGTAGGACAGTGTCCTGACTGTGCTGCCAGGATGCTGGTAATGGGCTTGTGGCCAGGTCCCCTCTGTTGTCCTTGATCCCACTCTCGTTTTTATCCCAATTTCAGGCATTGCATTGCCCTTGACCCCAGGCAGCCAGACCCCAGGAGAGAAGGGATGTGCTCGGGACCCTGCCAGGGCCATCATCGCAGTGGAGCGTTCAATTAGATGGGGATGGATATTTTGGGTTGCTCTGCCAGAGCCCATTGGCTTTGTGGCTAGAAACTGGAACAGGAGGGTGTCAGCAGGGCTGTGCACCGTGAAAACGCTGTCAGGTTTTATCTAAATCAGAGCAGAGGCATGAAAGTGAGGTGGGTTTAATTCTTCAGAAGAGAAATGAAGAAAAAGAAATGTTCTGTGTGGATCCATTCTCAGGTAATTTAGTCCCAAGGTGTAGGTAATGTATAAAGGAAATAGGATTTATTGGTGGTTTCCAGCTTCCCTTCAGCTGTGCAGCAGCTCCATCTCTGGCTGGCCGAGTTCTCCCGAAACGCAGCCTTTGAAATTCCCAGGGGGATTAAACCTAGGAAAAATTGGGAGGAAGGGGGCTGGGAGAAAAGTTTCTGCAAGGAGAAGGTCACCTCCGTGCCTTTACAACAAGCAGCTTTCTATAATTTGATAAAACAATAATCTTAATACCTTCCTCGCCATCTGAAACTCTCCAAGCAGATTTACCTCCTCCCTGATAAGGGATGATGTGATGCGAGGCCCTCGCTGGCTCCACGCGTCGTAGCTGTGCCTCTAAGCCCTGCTCCACACAGAGAGGCCGTTCTGGATTTCCCCTGGTCTTTTTGAGAACTTATATCTCCTCATTAATTTATTTCCAAGCAACTGTAATGTGTTATTAGTGCTATTGTATATTAATAGCTGGCTTTAGTTCTTAAACTGCATCCAAGGGCATGTCCTGGGAATTTGAAGAAAGGACATCAAGAAAAGATTAAGAAGTGAGGAGCTCTAGGGAAAAGCTCTTGTTCCTAGTTAAGGACATGAAAATCCCAGGAATTGGTGGGAATGCTGGGAACAGACATGACTGGCTCCGGTACCGGGAAATGATTAAAATCTACTGGTGCTGAGAAACAGCAGGACCACAGGCGAGCGGCTGTGACATGTATGACTGAGCCCATGCGATGTCAGGGTCTAAATGGCTGTTAAAGCTCATCTGGCACCTCTTGGAGAGAGCAGGGTGAGGAGCTGCAGGAAGATTTTTGCATCTTTTGCATCAAAGTGTGTTCCCAGCAGCCGGTACAGTCGTGTAAAATGCGGTTGGTCCCTGGGACGAGCGCAGTCCCTGTGGGGTTGTGAGTCCTGGGTCCAAGGACCCTCTCCTGCAGAGAACTGCCTAGAGCGTTGCGTGTAGAGGCTTGTTTCTTTTGTAGCTTAAAACTATGTGGTCAAGCGTCCTGATGTAGGGCAGGCTTTGAACAGAAGAAGTGATCTTGGACGCAGTCCAAGCTCCTACCCGACCTCCTTCACTCACAGAAAGAGGCCCTTGGCTTTCCTCTGGCTTGTAACTAGACCCAGCCGAATAGGCTGAGGAATTAGCTCCCATGAGAACATATTTTAGAGTGCCCAAACTACTTAAGGACTTTTGAAATAGTTATCTATTGAGCTACACCTCTGAATTCAGCAGCGCTTTCATTGCGATTCGTCTATTTGGTTTTTCCCTTTCCTTGGAGCTACAGCATACAATTATGTCCCACTGCATGCCGTGCTGCTTCAGCCTGTGGGAAGTTCACAGGGCTCCTTCCAGCTCGTGAAAGGAAGGGCACGGTACTGACTGCTGCTTGGTGTCAGAGACCAGAGTTTCAGAGCAGGCTGGGGAACAGACCCGCTTGCCAATGGCAGGTCTGAGGAAACCAGAACTTTCACTGCTGTGAAAGAACCTTTTACCTGGTGGTGCATGAAAGACCAAACTCCCCGGGAGCTGTGGTGGTTCAGAGCCTGGTTGCCTGCTGGGCCACACACACCAGGAGATCTGAGGATTCTTGAAACATCCAGCTGGTCCGTTGCACTCGGCGCGGTTGCTGGTTGCTCGCAGCCTGACTTTTGGCTGGCTCGTGGGCTAAAACATCTAAAAACAAGGGGAATTTTGCCAGAGTATCCAAAGTGTTGGCCTGAACTAGTAGCCCTTCCAGAAATACACACAGTAAATGTTTTAAACGCCAGCGCGCGGCACCCGGAGTGTGTCACAGGCTGTCAAGCGGGAGACAGACTCCAAACCCAATTTCCAGTGAACAGCAGCCAGAGGTCTCGTTTGGGCAGGGCTGGCAGCACTGCCTCTGCCCGGTGTGTGCCTCATGCTGCTGCCTTCTCTTCTCTTTCAGTCTGACATGCAGAGCTGGGAGGAGCAAAGCCAAGGAGCCATCTACACGGTGGAGTACGCCTGCAGGTACCAGAGCCCCCTCCGAGCAGCAGGGCTGTGTTTGCAGGCAGAGGTGGTGCAGCAGAAACAAGGCATAGAGGCTGCCTGCTCTTCCCTGACGCCTCCCGGGGAGACAGCAGTGGGTGTGAGGGTGTGAGGCACTGCTCCCTGAACCGTTACCGGGAATCTCGAGGGCTTCACTTTGATGAGCACACCAGCTCTTCCTCAGCTGGGTGTGCGGCACAGACCTGCTGCTCCCCTGCAGTAAATCCACCCATCAGCTAGCTAGGGTGTAGCTGAGCTTTCTTATTAACAATCCTCCCTGTTTTGGGCAGGATGGGAGGGGGTGTGTGTGTGTGCTCTAAAACCATGCCACCTTTAGAAATACTAACCAGTCTTCCATCTCCCTCCACCTTCCTTCTCTCTTCTTTCAGTGCCATAAAGAACATGACCGACAGCAGCGTGTACTTCAAGAGCATTGACAGTCTGCTCAAACATGCCATAGCCATGAAGGATCAGCTGAACGCTGCGCAGGGCCGCAGGTAGCAAGGGGATGTGACACTGCCTGTTTAGCTGAGTGACCGTTCTGGCTGGCAGAGGCTTTGGTGATGTAATGCAGCCCAGTGCAAATATGCCAAGCAGTAACTTCGGTAATATGATTCTAGATTATTATTTGAAAGAGCATGCTGCTTCCTTTCCAGTGATCTTCTGGCTGTGTTTACTGGGAAGCAAATAATCTTGTTTACAAAAGGGTAACGAAAATAATTTATTTCCTTATTTAAAAAAGGGATGTTTGGTTGTATAATACATCAAATCTTTGTTGTGTCAAAGGCGTTTGTGGAGTGAAATCACAGGATCACACAGAATCGTTCAGGTTGGAAAAGCCCCTCGGGATCATCGAGTCCAACCCTCAGCCCCACTCTACAAAGTTCTCTCCTACCCCACATCCCCCCAGAGCTCATCCCAACGGCCCTTAAACCCCCCCAGGGATGGGGACTGCCCCCCTCCCTGGGCAGCCTATTCCACTGTCTGACCTCTCTCTCTGTGAAAAACTTTTTCCTAATGTCCAGTCTGAGCCTCCCCTGTTGGAGTTTAATGTTGGAGATGATGCTGCTGAGATGGAGTAGGTGAGAGGCTGCGTTGGGTGCTGTTCTGTCACGTGCGTGGCTCTTTTGGGGCAGAGTGCCCTAGAGATAAGTGGTAGCAGAATGATGATGATGCATTTTTGTATATTTGCAGTTGAACTACAGCTACTAAAATATCTTCCAGCAGATCGTCTGAGTCTAGTGTATTTGTCTCTCCTGAGAACCGTGTTGGTATTGGAGTCTGAAGGGTTAGAAGGGAGAAAATTCCCAAATGCCCATCCCTGATAAAACCACCACAGCGAATAGAGAGCCTCTGTCTCTGCAGAATGACTCTGCCTCAGACACTCCTGGTTCAGGTTCTGTGTTTTCCCAGTTGCCCACATGGCAGGGTCACGCTCTGTGCAGCCCAGAGCATTTTTAGTGGTTTTCAGCGTGGTGTGGCTGTGAAGATTGCTGTCTCGACACCCGCGGGGGCTAGGATGTGCTGCTCCGTGGCTGCACAGCACACTGAAAGCTGTGTTTGTCTAAGCTGCTCTCCTGCTGCGAGCAGGGAGGGTTTATTTGAGGAAGCCCCTGGTTCTTCACGTTCTTCTGGCTGCTGGTGTCCTGCCTGCCTGCTGGACGTGACTGTCTCTTTCTTTTCACAGCACTGTCGCCCCACAAGCCAAGAATCCTCCAGCCAGTTCCTGATTTCAGACAAGACTGGCCGTCCTCTGCCGCCTTCTCCAGCCCAGCTCTCTGTTCTCCAGCCACAGGGAGGAGTGAGAAACCACCTGCTCAGTCTTTGAAGCTGCACAGAGCCCTGCCTGCCTCTCCACTCCCAGCAACAAGGTGCTGCACCTAAGCAGGCAAATCCTGCCCCAGGGCTCAGGACTGCATTTGGGGGGTGCTTTGGGTAGCACTTGTGTCCCTTTCCACAACACTCTGCAAAAGGGAAGTGGGGTGGTTCTGCATTTGTCCTTTCCAGTTCTTTTCGATGGCAGACTGCTATGAAGCGTGGTTTGTTTTTTTTTTTCTCTACCTCTTGGCCACAGAAAAATCTCAGAAAAACTAGGTCTTGCTTTCAGTATTTTGTAGATGGCTGTGTAAAGACGTAATGTAGGCACACTTCAGCTTTGTTCAGGAGGCATTCTGCAAGGAGAGTTTTTCATGTGTGTGCCAGGGAGTTGCTGAATTTGGTTTTTAGTGAGAACAATAATAAAAAAGAAAAAAACAAGAAAGTTCTGTCTAAAACCTTCCCCTGTTGCTCGCTCTGGCTGGGGGGTCTTGGAGCCTGCTGGCTCTGCATGTTTCAAAGGGCATGGAGCAAAACAAAGACATGCAGAGTTGGAGCTTTTCAAGTGAAAAAAGAAACTGTCCCGTTCTTCAAAAAAAACAACAAAAAAAGGACTTTCTTCATCCCGTCAAGCAGTGGGAAGCAGAGCTGTACGCACAGCTTTGGAGGTCACTTTAAAAAGGATGCAACTTTAATGTTAATCTCTCCTGGAACCAACAGTTCTCTTCTGCTGAAGAATTTACCAAGGATGCAGGGATCAAAGCAGCGCTAAACTCCGTTTCCAAAGAAATCGTATTGTGCTGAGGATAACAGGTATCTGTCAGGATAATAGCACGGGAGGTGAGAGGGAATCTGTTTGAATCGGCGGCCTCCCTTCATGCTTTACTTCACAGTCCAGCAGAAATGCTTTGCTGATTGCTGAAGGATAAGGAATTGGGGAAGAGCCAAGCGTGCTGCTGCTCTGGGCCTGGGCTGGCAGAGCACGGGGCTGCAAGGAGGGGGACGGAGCGAGTGTTTCACAGAAACAGCTGCTGCCTTTGGTACGCCTGCTTTCTGCCCTGCACGCAGCAGAGGACTGGCAGTGCCAATGCAAACCCTTCCTGGACCTCAGCCTCAACAGTTGCTCTTCTGGTGGCACCCAGGTAAACCCAGAGGGGCCCCCCACCGCTGGGTGACCCCTGAAGTGACCCTGCTTAGCCAGCCGAGCTCCGCTCAGAGTGGGGACGTGCTGGTGACCAAGCAGCAGGTTCTCTGCCACCCCGAACCCACTCTCTGTGCCTTGCAGGCTCCTCTGGTTCCATCTCACTCCTCCATCGCCTCCCTCGGTTTCTTAACGCCTGCCTGGCTGCACGCTGGGTAGGTTGTGGGGACTGTCTCCATGTGGTGCTGGCTTCCAGGAACAGAGGAGGAAGGAAGGAGGCAGAGGAAGGGCAGGGAGGTACAGCCAGATGGGCTGGGCTCTGCTGGAGGAGGAGGGTAGGTCTGCTCATGGACAAGGTTCCACGTGGTTCTTTTCCACCCCCATGTTCCTCTTCCCTTCGCTGCAGCTGGGACAGCCCTGGGGGTCCGGCGTGGGTCACTGCCAGCCACTGCCCTGCCAGTGTGGCTCCTTGTTTGTGGGGTGACAAGGGCCAGCGGCATGGCAGGAGGGGCTGGGGGCTCCAGTTAGGCGACCAAGGGCTTTTGGCTTTGAATGGAGGTGGTGTCTTCTCAGTAAAAGGAGCAAAGAGCATCAGGCAGTGGGTGCACAGACCCCCCCCCCAAGGGTCTGTAAAGGCTGGAAAAGCAGCCACCCCCCTGCTCTGCTGAGACATGACCTATATTAAGCTCTAATTAGAGATGCACATCATGGCCCTGGAGCTTGCAGCTCCCCTGGGACAAGACAGGGCAAAAACCTCCCACTTCCACTCACACCAGAGTCGAGTCCTTGCCCGAGGGGCCGGGTTTGCGTGACAGCACGTTCCTCATCTCCTGCGTGACGCCGTGCCAGGGCTTGCTCTGGGCCTGCAGCAGGCCCGACTCTGCCGACAGCGTCCTGTGCGTTCGGGGCAGGTTGTAGCTCTCCTGCTCGGAGCGAAGCCCGGGGCTGCCCGAGGAGGTGAGGTTGCTGCTGGCCGGAGAGCCCAGCTGAGATTTGTGCTCCAGGAAAGGAGGGAAAGAAAATTCCCGGTGGATCTGAGGCCGGGGCCGGGGCTCAGCTGCGTTCTTGTTGTTCAGATCGCTGGCGGAGGATTCGCCGTGCTGGGCAGAGTCGTTCTCGTACAGGGTGTGAGAGACCTCGGAGCGGCTGCGGTGTGAAACCTGGGAAGCCCGTACCAGGGCGTGTGTCACCGTGATCAGCAGGACGATGATGCCAGAGGAGAGGATACAAGCACTGGCAATGCCGGCCTCCAGCTCAAACAGCAGCAGCATGTAGATGGCGAGAGCTGGAAGGAGAAAGAGAGCACAGAACCTCTTGAGGAACCAGAAGGACTAAAGCGATGCAGCTGCCTGGCAAACATGAGGGCTGGCTACCAAGAACAGAAACTTCGCGCTACGGGAATGAGCTGGCAAAGCCATTTGCAAAACAAACCCGATGCTGAAGTAGGAACTCGGGGCTGGGCTGCAAACTGCTGCACCGGTGGGAAATGAGCACTTGCCTGTGAGGTAGACTGAGACCCCGCAGCAGAACAAGCCGATGGCAGCATGACGAACTGTTCGGCTGTCCAGAAGGAACCAGTCTGCCCTGTGAAAACAGGTGAGAAAAATACAGGCCTCTGTAGTCTCCTGGCCCTGGTTCTCAGCACAGGAAAAACGCTGATGCTCTGGCCCCTGCCGAGAAACTGAAACGCTGGTTTTGCATAGAGAAGAGGCTCAGGGCCAGGTCACGAGCCCCGGGACCTCTGCTGAACTGGGGTTTCCCCCAGGCTGCTGGGTTGCACAGCTTTGGGCTGTGTTCTTCCGGCTGTGGAACATAAGATTTTGAGAGAACTTAAAATTTCAAACTTTTCCTGCCCAGTTCTAGCTGTGCTTTGGAAACCAGAAGGAGACAGGGGTTCAGGAAAGAGAGAGAGAAATGGCTGAAGGCCTTTTGCAGGTGACTTGCCCCTGTTCAGCAGATCCTGAAGAACAAGCAAGGAACAAAACGGAGGCGTGGCAAGTCCATCTCCCCCTTAAAGAAAGAATGACAAGTGCTGGTGTGTTGAATTAAGCAAGGCCAGGTTCTCCCTTCACCCTTGGGACTGGATTTCTGTGCTCAGCTCAGATTGCAAGCCTTTTGTCTGCAAGGGGCTTGGTACTTGAATTGTCCTTAAAACACATGAAAAGACCAGCTCCTTTCCAGCAGGGCCTTTGTTTCCCACCCAGCACTCACCCCTGCACCAGCAAACTCTCCCTCAAGCCACCGACAGCTCTGCCTGGGCATCTTCTGAGCCAGATTGGCTGGGCAAGCCTCAGCCCTCGCTGGGCTGCGGAGGCTGCTGTGGCCAGAGGATGCTCCTGTTCATTGGGAGAGCGGGATGTGGTCATTACGGGGACGCAGTGTAGCGTGCCAGGGGTGGAGGGTGGCAGCTGGGTGCCAGGCGGCTCGGTGGGTTGGAAAGGCGAGTGCTCGCAGAGATGCTGCCATCACTGGGATGCTGGGAAGCTGCAAACAGTCCCCGGAAATGACTCTGCGTCCGCGAGGCCTCGCCGGGGCCACCTTCAAAAGTCCCCAGGAGCCAGTTGGAAGTGCTCTGGGTCCAAAGGACCAGCTGAAGGGGCAGCACCAGCCCTCGCGCTGCTCTGCAGCAGCAGCCGGCTCCTTCCACCCCGCAGGCTCAGTTCGGCCGCCGAGGATGCTGTGCCCTGGCCTGGCCCCCTCCCCTCCTCCTGGGCTTCTTGTAGCCCCTCGGCTGTTGTTGCCCACCCCAGGAGCCGTTACATTAATAGAGCCTGGACCTGCTCCCGCTCCTCGCTGCCGGCGGGGAAGAGCAGTCGCTTTGTTTTATTAATTACCTGAGCCAGGGCAGGGGGGGGGATTAGCGAGGAGGAGAAGGACTTTGTTTGGAGCTGGCTCGGACTATTGAGCACAACGCTGAGAAGCGGAGCGGTAATTCAGTGTGACAGGCCCAACGTGGGAAAGGTCCCTGGGACGTGAGCGGGTCCCCTAATGAAACCGGCGCCCGACGCTGGCCACAAGATGACGGCGGCTAATGGGGTGCCACATCATGGGGGAGAGGGGCTGCATCCTGCTGGTACCTCCTGCCCGCAGACCAGCACCCCTGTGTCCCCAGAACCTGCCCTCTTCCTCCCAAACACGAGTGTAACCCTCAGGTTGCAGCTGAGGAAACTGAGGCACGGCCAGATGAAGTGATCTGTTCCAAATCCGAGGCAGAGGGATCCCAACCCTACCAACACCTGCAGCAGAGCCAAAAGCAGCCTCTCGCTTCACAGGGGCTCTGAAGCAGAGCTCAGAAATATTTTTTAGTACAATATTTTGGGAAGAGCTTTCCTGCTGGGTGAGACGTGCCAGCGGGGTCCGCAGCCGCGCGGTGATGGTTGTTCCCTCCTTTAAGTCCTTGAGCAAGTGGCTGGGGTTGGCGTGAGGGCTGTCCCGCGGCCACCACCCTCCCTCTCCCTACCTGTGACACTGCATCTCGCTGCCTCATTACCGGCTGCTCCCGTTTCACGCGCAGGATGGTCCGAGCCGAACCTCACAACTTCAGGATGGAGCGTTTTACAGCCCAAAGCCCTACCGCATCTCAGACATATTTACAGCTTGGGGGGAATTTTCTGCTTTTAAGAGTTTTCCAGCAGAAACTCAGCTCCCACCAAAAGCAAAGTTTGCTATTGGAACTTTGTATTTCGCAGAAATATTTTGCTCTCCTCTGCTAACGAGCTCGCTAAGCGTCAGCTTGGCTTGGAAGATGCCGAGAGGAGACGCTGCGGCTCGCTGGAGTGCCTCCAGCTGCGGTTGCTCCCAGGCATTGATGAGTTTGTCTAATTAGGGACAAAAGTAACTGTTGAAACATTATCATTTCCTTTAAATGAGTTTTGGCTTGCTTAAGTCAGCGTGGCCCAAAACAGTCCCGTGGGGACCATCGCATGAGCTACACGGAGGGACCTCCACAACAGACCAATTTCCACTAAAATTTAAATCTGATTATTCACAAGTTGTTTTTTTTCTTCTAACCCACAAGCAGAGCCGGTGCTGGGCTGGGCCAGCACGGGCAGAGGAGCCACCAACCCAGCCCAGGTCGAGGACGGAGAGAGGAATTGCTTCTGAAATACTTTTGCAAGTGTAAATGCTGGTAATGATTAAGTCAACACATGTCTGTGGTTAATGATCCCGGGCCCGGGGTCGTTTTGGTGCTGCCCCAGTTGCCTGCGCCCTCACCTCGGCAGCGACCCGGAGTCCCGGCTGCAAAGGGACAGATTTGGGGGCTCCTGGGTGACACAGCCTGGCCCAGCACATTGCCCCTTTGAGCTGAGCTGGCCTAGCCAGGCCCGAGCGCCCCCAGAACTCCCACGAACCCCGAGAGGGACCCTCATGGGACGTTACCGCAGCCAGGTGGGCTCTAAACTCCCTCCTAGTTGATCCAGTGGCCACACAGAGCTACACCCCAAATTAAGGGGCACGTTTACAGCCCCGGGGTTCATCGGCCAGAGATAACCCTGTGCCCCAGTGAATTTTGTGACACCCCAGTACCAGCAGCACCATTTGCTCCCCACAACCCCCTTTTGTGAGGGCAGTGACTGGGGGTGGGGGGGGTGGTAAAGGCCGGATCGTGGGGTGCAGGAGGGGTCGGCAGGGCCGTGTGTGACCCCCCCGCTGCAGTGACGAGCACCTCGAGACAGGTCCCGGGGCAGCAGCGTTATCCTGCCCCCCTCACCCTCCTCGCACCCCTCCAGCACCCCCCCTCCCCGGGGGACCTCCTGTCCCTCCAGCCACCTGCTCCCC